AGAATCACACTTGGGTCCTCTGGAAGCAGAGCAGCAAGTGCTCTTCCTCACTGAGCCGTCTCTCCAGCCCCAGGAACTACTTTTGCCCTTCTTTTCCTGAGAAAACTCACTTATGGTCCACTCTTCTCATCCCTATCTCGCACCTGAGGTCTGACTCTGAAGCCTCCTGAAGGGGGCCAGGCAGCGCTGTTTCAAACCTGACTTTGTCAAGGAATTGGACAAGTTCAAAATGTGCCACGGTAGGGAGTGCTCCTTTCCAGATCTCTTTCTGAAATCCCCAGGTAGGGGGCCCCTGTCTTAAACTCTTGGCAGCGTTTCAGGGGTACTTACGGAGCCATCTCGGGAGTCACACCTTGTTATCAAAGTTATGGTAGCTATTAGCTAAGAATTGGACCTGAGGGCAGGATTACAGAATTTTCCAGAAGGAAGTGTGAAAATTAGAAAGATGGAATTATTTTGTAGAGACGGAGGTGTCAACATTTATCCCATATTAAGGCACGTGTGCCGCATGACAGACTGTCGTTCCTCACCCTCGGCAAATGTGGCCCAAAGAACAGAGAAACAAGAAACCCCAAATATCACACCAACTGAACTCCTGCACATGCCTTGGGGCTCCGTGGAACTCAGAAAGGAAGGGTCCTTTCTTCCAGGCTCCAGCCAGGTGTCTGTGAGGGAGGCTGGTCTTTCGATTGAGGACTGAGACGTCTTTTCTCTTCAAGGGCAATGACTACATCAAAAAGTGCCGAGAACGGATGATATGTGACGGGTTTTCAAAGAAAGGTCAAATGTCAAGGCCAAATATCATCATAGAAGCATTCCATTTCCTTCAAATGTCCCCTGCACAACTTCCCCGAATGGGCCCAAGTTTACAAAAAAAAACAAAAAACAAAAAACCAATTTTCTAAAGGGGTGTTAATTGGACCGGGCACCATTGGATTTGCAGAAGCTTACACTGGAAATCTGTGCATGGAAAACAATAAATGGGCCCAGAATGTATTTATTTTATTGTTTCAGACCACTGATTGCTTGAACTGGGAACACGAATGAGAATGTATACATTTATACATAATACTTATTCACATCAGCAGGCCCCCATCACTGCCCGTCTGGACACATCTTACCCTGGAGATTATAACCTTTATTCCACGATTTCACTTTAGAGGGTATCTTTAAATGTACATAGCTCCAATCTTTAGAAGGAAATTAAAGAGAATTCCAGTCTGTATTGTCTACCCCTTCTTTCTGCCTCTCCTTTCAGGTTAGCAGTTTATTTCTGCATTAATCACCCTGACAGAAGCAAGGCAACTCAATTTTCTGCTTCTGTAGGTAGGCACATCACTTTCTGTACAACAGTAGGCATGAAAAGGCTGCAGCTAAGCTTTGGTTACTGGTGTAATTGAAATGCTATCCACACTATAGGGTGCATTAAAGTCAGATAACGACAGTTCCTGTGGCCAATTTAAGTAGCTTGACTTCCCTGGGAAAAAAAAAATTGCCTGACAGATAAGGCAGACAAACTGGCTAATTCTCCAAGCATGTCTCTCATTGTGATCCTAGAAAAATGAGAAAAAAATGAATCACAGAACCACAAAATCAATTGACCCTCGGGTAGCTCATCAGGCAGCGAGCCTGATAAACCTAAAAGCTTTGTTAATGTCTGCCTGCCTGTATCCCACAGATAGAGCACTTTGTAAATGAACCTGCTTTGATAAATATATTAAGGAAAGCTGTGAATAAAGCCAGAGACTTCTCATTTGTAAATACAACCTCTGCTACATGGAATTAGAATGATAAAGTGGAGTTCCATGTAATTAAGTTTGTATAAGGCCTGAAATCCGTGCAAATACTTCCCTTGAATTTTGAAAGAGAACTGTCAGTTCAATTAATCTGAACATCACCCCAAGAATGTACAGAACAAAATTAAGCCGCTGATAAAACCTGGGCCAGTATTTTGATAAGTAATTCCTATATCATTTCTTGGCCACTGTGATCATTTTATTTAATCCCCTACCCCTCCTTTTTCCTCAGTTACCCTCTAAGCCATGTACAAAGGGTAGATGGCCCATATACCACCATGCCAGTAATCTAAATCATACGCTAAAAATGAAAAAAAAAAAAACCCTTCTCTTCTATAAAAAAAATTAGAGTACATAAATACCTATGAGAAGATACAAAAGACTAAAACCAAACCTCAACCCCCCTGTGTCTATATTGTTCCTCAGAGTCCAGACAAAAGGAACCTTCCCAGAAGCAGTGGCTGTGTGGGAGCATTGTGAAAAACACACAGACAACAGTATCTAACAGGAACCAGCCAGACGGAATTTGTGATTCAGCTGGAGAATTTGAAAGGATCAGAGATGAGAAAAGTGAGCATAGGGGAGAAGAAAAAGAAAGAAAGAGTCAGAAAGAAGAAGAAACCCCACAAACCCCACTTGCCTAGGCTACCTGGTTCCTCATCCTAGGCATACATTTCACACCTCGGGGAAGAAATACAGTCATTACCATTGATTTCCTTTGTTCCAGGAACAAAATCAAGAAAGAAAAGAAAACAACGATCTAGAAGCCCCCCTTTGGTCAAGGGAGGAAGATCTTGGGGTCACTCACCAGTTGTTTACTTGGAGAATTGTCAGTCCTGTGTCTTGCGCTAACTGTTTCTTCTGCTCTTCGGAAGGGTACGGGTGCTAATGAAAAGACAAATGTTTGAAAAGATGCGTCAGAAGTTGGGAAAGAGACACACATACTTCTCAGCGTGAACCCACCCTTGGTGCATTCTTTTTCCCATGGCTTGATTCTCCTCATCACATGGAAAAATATATTTAACTTGCTGACAAAGTGTGGACTGGAGCCCGTGGGGGCAACCCCAACTTCCTGTCACACTCTGTAGGACCAGCAATGAAAGTCTGGGTACCTAGGTGACTCTCTGTCTTTGATCCACCGTGCTGGATTGGCATCAGAGTTCTGGGTGTCCCTATTCCTGTCTGTTGTATGTAGGGGATTTGTGGACCCACTTCCTTTGTTCACTAGAGGGTTACATGGAATTCATACTCTATGCTACCTCTGAGAGACTGGTCCACATAACTATTAATTCTTAGTTGATATGAGGCTAACTACATTTGGATTTGCCAATATGTAAACACAACTATTTTGGAAACCAAAGCAAGTGATTGGATGTCGAGTCCTTTGCAAGGATGAGATTGGGATTTTTCAATTTTTCACTGATTAGTTTTCTAGGCTGTCAAGGTCATGTACGATGGTTTGCACAGAGGACCTGTCCCTCACCCTATGCATAAATTTCACATCTCAGGGAAGGAGTCAGTTCTATGCCATGCTTCCTATGGAATGTTTCCATGTTAACTTCAAGTACAGCAGCAAGAGAACCCAGCCATAGGTTTCAGCTTTTTAACTCTTTCCTTCCATCAGAGTTCACTCCCACTGGTAAGTAGCCTTCCCGTTAGCCTCCTCTCCCCTTTCCTCTCTCATCTTGAAACCCAGGATTGTTGCTTTACAATTATACATTTCCTTCAAGAAGTTCTGTGCTGGAGGGCATGCAATTATGAAACACATCTGTTACGTAAGGTCCTGTTCAAAATTCACTGGTTTTCTTAAACACAAAGGTAAACTTTTATCCCCATCTCAGAGTTGTTCATAGACTAGAAAGCCCTGAGTCGTAATCTCACCAACCTCACTGAGGTCTCATCAAGGGCTGGAGAGGTGGTTCAGTGCTAAGGAGCCTCCTACCTCCTTTGCAGAGGACCCCAGTTCAGTTCCCAGAACCCATGCTGGGCATTTCACAGCTGCCTATAATTCCAGCTCCCGGGTATTTGGGGCCTCTGGTCTATGATAGCACCTGCACTCACATGTACATCCCCCCCTCAATACACATAACTAAGAGTAATACAAATAAGTCTTGAAAGTATTCTAGTCATCCCAGCATTTGAAGGAGGGGATGTTTTTTTCAACCATCTAAGAATTCAACTCTCAGGTATTTCATCTTCTATAATAGCATACATTCCCTAAAATGTGCATGACGGTTTATTCAAGAACCCACATGCCATCAGGTTCAACAAAATCCCCTGTATAGCAAAAGGGTTAACTAGATCTGTATTAATATAGAAGCCAGGCTTTTAATATTCTGCAAATGTTAACAAAGAAAGATGATAATGTTGAGTTAATATGGGTTAAGCATAAAATGAAAATAAATTTTTCTGATTGCGAGGTGTTGACACTTTTTTGGCTAGGGCCTGCAGCTTGTTCCTTAAAGCTGTGTAATTACAGAAGGCTTTGCCCCTCCTTCCCCCTCCTGCTAGAGCCTCCCCACATTAGTAATGACCCCTTCACTGCTTCAAAAACCACTAATGGTCTTCAGCACAGGCAAGAAAAATGAACAGGGTAAATTGGAATCCACAGTCAGTAATTTGCATCCTATGAGGCTGCTTCGGCCACTCACACTCATTCCTGGCCATCAATCGCTGCCTGTCAGGTGCTGCACTCTGCCTAGTGACAAATACTCCTCCTAACACCCCGATTCGTCCAAACAATGCAATTGTCCTCTATTCTCCTTTTGGTAATGGAGAAAACGAATGACTCACAAACAAGGATTGTTCATCACAGACTCGGAGGGGCCTTCAAACTGGAGGAGGCCCTCAGTCCAAATTTTAATTGACTGAACGCACTGGTTGGGGAGCAAATGACAATTTAAAAAAAGAATCCTTCTTGTCAAGGCATTTCCTGGCCAAATTCAAGGCAGTGGTCCTCTTTTGAGTTTCTGCCACTCTGATTATTGAAAGCCTAGGTTTATAGGTTGTCAGCCCAGGGGGAGAAATTGTGCAAACAGCAAGGATCAAAATGAAAATGAAGAGACATTCCTCCAAATGTATAGAAAGGGGCTAGAAATACAATGGGCCTCAGTGTGCTGCTGCTATATTCAGCCCCCCCCCTCTGTCTGTCTGTCTCTGTGTCTCTCTCCCTCTTTCTTTCCCTCTCTCTCCTCGTCATGTGCCTTGTACATGTGTTGCTTTCTGCATTTGTCCAAAAAAGTTCTGACAAGTGTATGTGTGTGTGTGTGTGTGTGAGAGAGAGAGAGAGAGAGAGAGACAGAGACAGAGACAGAGAGAGACAGAGAGACACACAGAGAGACAGAGACACAGACAGAGACAGACAGAGTTTAGATGAACAAAGGTAGTTTAGGGGAAAAGTAGAAAGTGGATGTTACTAGATTGCTACAGAGCCAATTCCTTCAAGTTTGATTGTAAATTCTGATTGAATAACAAGAATGCTTTCTAGTGTTTTATTAAAAATGTAGTCAAATGACTGCAGAATTTTATAAACAGTGCATTTTATCTTGGGAATCCCTTGCTATACTTTCTCTATTTCATAAGCAGTTTCAAATTCCATCCAGAATCATTAAAAACATTGGTACCTTACCAAAATTCACCTTGCACAGATGGCTTTTTTTTTTAATTAATATGGAAGACTAGAATAAGTTTAAAGTTCTTTGAGTGCCATCCTGTGGGTTTTGAGCACTCCAGATTCACACCCCTTTTATGCATGGGGTGGACTGCTGATCTGTAAGTGACCTGGCAGTCGGCCACTGGATTTCTAAAATTAAAAGAGTGATTGAGAACAATCAGCTTTCAGAGGGATTGGAACGTGACAATGTGTTTTGGATTAATTTACAAGTATATGTTCAGATTTAAGGGCAAACCACGGAACTGAAGGACTTCTCCTCCATGATCTATCGTGTGCACGCTTTATTGGGACAGACATCATGTTGAAATAATAAACAGGGGAAGCCTTCGCTCCTTCTTTGATGTATATTACTAAATGTCTGACTGGCTCAAATTTAGAATAAACTTTGGTATGTTTGCACTTGGAAACTGGAAGTGGACCACAAGCAATAATTTGTAGTCAATCTCCATGTTCTTGGCCTAAAGCTATAGTTTTGACTGTTCACTGTTGGGGGCCAACTCACTTGGGTCCAGTGGCCCAGAGTTCGCTGGGCTTCTTCCTAAGAGCACATGTTGTTGCACAATAGCATTGATGATGAGTGCATCATCAATAAAGCGCTAAAGGTTAAGGATTTTTACATCTCAAAATAGTCCCAAGGCCACCAGTGAATAACAGCACATCCTTAAAGGTCCTTTTACTTGAAATATCAACTAACAAAGGTTGGAAAAGTGAAAAAGGCATGCATATCTCATGATTCAATAAAGATAGAAAATGTTCTTTAATTGCGTCTCATGTACAAATCCACTTGAAAGCAAGATGTCTCTTTAGTCAAGCCACAACAGGCCTCCCCTCCTTCTGCGTAGGGTAGACCAAGTACGTGGTGCTTTGTAGGTCAAGTGCATGGAAGCAGAGGAGCTACATCTTTCCATTACATCCCTGAGACATTTGGGTGAAAAAGCACTTAATAATGATCATTTGTGACTAGTCCTTCTCCAATAATGTCCAAACTAGAACTGATTGATCATGAATTCATTCTGTGTTGCAAAGATTTATGCTGATGCTGTAAAATTTTAAGTGATATTTCAAATCACCCCACAAGCCAGAAATGCACAATGAAGTAAAAAGAGAGTTTTCTATTTGCAGGATTAAAACACTGTAAGTCACCTAAACATCTACCAATTGGATTGAAGTTGAATGAAATGTGTTTTTTTTTTTTTTTCCTAAGCCAGCTGTGGGGGGAATGGGGTGGTTGGGGTTGGGTGGGAGTGTGGTGGCCCAGCACTAGGAAGGCACATGCAGGCCGATATCTGTGAGTTTCAAGGCCAACTGGGGCTAGTTTGGGAGTTCCAGGCCAGCCAAGGCTACATAATTTGTCAAATTACTTTGTGTAATGATATAATACAACAGAAAAATGGTTAAGCTACTTACTGTGAAGGATGTTAGATGACATGAATTCCTGTTTCCATGGGGACAATGACCCACCCCCCACCTCTTCCCTCACATATTCACTTTACAAAGTTAACCCAGGTTGCTTTTTTTTTTTAATCATCTTTCTTATGCATGTCTGTTCTTTCTTTAAGATTTCACTTTAAATTGTGTGTGTGTGTGTGTGTGTGTGTGTGTGTGTGTGTGTGTGTGTGTGTGTGTGTTGGAGCGTCTGTGCACGTGAGTTCAGTTGTTTTTGCTCTTGGAAGCCAGAGGCATTAGATTCTCCTTAAATCTAGAGTTACTCGGAGTTGTAAGCTGCTGAATGTGGATGGTGGGGACCAAACTCAGGTCCTCTGAAAGGGCAGTATGTGCTCTTAGCTTCTGAGGCATCTCTCCACCGATATGATCTTGATTTTGTTTATGTTAGTTACATATGAAACCCTCAAAGTAACTTCCCCAATGTGGACAAAGAAACTGCTTTGGTAGGATATCATTTAGCGATCTAGGACCATACTCACTGGGTACAAAGGACTTATCCCTTGCGTAAATAAATGAATCTTCTAATAAAAGGTCAAATTGAGCCAATTGTCATTAATCTATCAACTTTTTCTTATGTGTACAACAATTCCTATACCATGAAGAGAATGAACTTTTTTTTTTATCAGTTTTAAAGATGAAACATAAAATAACAACACAAAAGACATTTTAAAGCCCCCCATCTTTGTTTCTCAAGGTATTATCTTCCTCCACGAAATTTCCAAAGAAATTTACTCGATACTTACAATTTTACATCTTCGTTGCCCTG